ATTACACATATATAAATAATTAAATATTAAAGCGCTGTTATTGTTTCAGTAAAAATCATATTATTTTATTTAGGTTACATAAAAAATTATATACAAGGAATGATTCTATTAAAAATGAAAGAAATATAAAAAGGTATAGAATTCAATTATATAGGAAAATATATCTTTTGTAGACAGATGTTATTATAATTAACCTTTTTCAATTATTAATTTTTTCTTATAATTTTAACATTGGAATATCAAATCATATCCACATAAAAGATATTGTGTAACATAAATTAGACTATATAAATTGCTTATTATGAAAAATATTTTTAAAATTCTGTTATGTTTTGTTAAAATTAATTACTATTTACGTGCGCTTGTATTACAATAACTAAAACGGTCGCAATAGACATGATAAACTAAAAATAAAGATAACATATGTAAGTTTTCATCTTAAATATTTATCATGACTTATTATTTCTAGTATGCAATAAATATAACATACCCTGTAAAGAAATTTGGAGCCAAATTGGAAAAATCCAATTCCATAGAATCTAAGAGGCTTATAAGTCATTTGTAATGAAAATTGTGAAATCTGTATTATTACAATACATTACTATTAATGCATATTTTGTTAGTGTTTGTACTAAATTGGACATGGATTTAACGTTTCTTTTAATAAAATTTAGTTATCTTATTTTAAGACTTACGACTTCACGAATTTCAACATCAAAAGTAGAATATGATAATTTATTGAATAAATATCCTGTTGCATTAGCCTAAAATTGGAATATGTTGAATAAAATTGAAGTTATTTTTAATTTAGGAATTTAAAGATATTACTAGTACTTTTTATTACAAATAAATTTTAAATTAACATTTAAAAAGTTGAAGTTAAAATGAATACCTTGATGCTGACTGTTTCGCACACATAATTAATGAGTAGAAATTTGCTAACGTTATGAAAAAACAAGAATAAATATAGGACTGCACATAATATATTATTAGATTTTACGTAATTATCAGTAAGTATTGCGGAGAAAATTATGTGTAAGTCAATCACTATCCAATTAAAATAACATGCCATTTTAAAAGTCATTTGTGTTCCAAATATTGAGTCCACCTCTCGGGATAGTTTGCGTAATTCTAAATGAAGATGTCTGTAATACCAAATTACACAAGATAAAATTGCTATAATTAATAGAACTTATCTAAATTAATAAAATTGTCTTACAAAATTATCCATATAATGTAGTCATTTCTTGAAGTCTCCAAAAATCTTTGTCGATAGGAATGTATCATGGAATTTTCCCAAGCTGGTTTTATTGCATGTTTATTTTTTGTTAAATTCTGAATGAGTTCATTGATTTGATCAAACTTCAATCCTATGTATCTTAATATAAAGAGTCATTGAATATAAAATTGTTATTTACAAATAACAGATATATCAAAAATTTTAAAAATACACTTCAAAAACTGTGAGATGATTTATGCATGATAATTTAATTGTATTACACATATAACTATTATAAAGTATTATAAACATATTATGACCGTATATCTGAAAAGATACTAACCCAAGAATACTTGCATTAGTCAAATCATCGACAACGTTAATGTGAAAAGAATAGTTTAGTAAAAAGATAAAAAGCATAGCTGTTACAATGTCGCAATTGTGTTCAACTTTTAAAAATAATGCTGAGCTACAATTCATTAATATAACTATCATAGACCATCCTAAGACAAGCCATAGTGTTTTTGCATGTAGTTTTTCATAATTTGTCACTATTCCAAGTTTATGTAGTGTATTGTCGACAATATCGAGCTTTTTCAAGCAGTTTTTAAATTTCTGTCGGGAAGATGCAAGTAGAATAGATGAAATAAATGAATAATATTATTATTTATCTGAAAATTTGACAACATTATTGCAGCTTATACATCTAATAATACCTTTATTGCATTTTTAGTCATTATTGTATAATTAATTTATATCTGTATATATTAAATTAATATAATATTAATACATAATTGCATTAGTGACACATGTAGAAAAAAATTTGTAAAAAATGCAAAATAATATGCATAGAAAGACTTTATGATTTAATGTAATTTAAACAATAAGAATTTTTTAATGTAATTTCTTTTTACTATAACGCTATATCAAATAATAATAAATTAAAAAGAATCTACGTAGTGTTTGCAGATTATCTTTATGTCTTCATACATCATTAAATGTTAAATTAACAATAATTTATAATTATTTTGAATATTGTAGCTATGCACTTATAATTATTGCTGAAAATATTATATCTACTTACCTCATTATGATATATCCCAAACACGATCGATAACAAGGTTGTAAACAATTCCAGCAAATAGCAAATGTGATATTCGGTAGTGGTATAAAATTTAAGATAAGGTATTAATACTGACATTAAAAGAAAATAATAAATTATCCAAATTGTCAGCATATATAAGAGACTAAACCACAATTTCGCATGACGTAAAGGTAGATTGGTGAGTCTTAAACTAAAAATGTAACTAATCATCAGGAGTGGCATTAAAATTGTTCGAATACTTCGATTCATTGTGCATATTTCACGTTGCTATTTCAAACTGTTCGTCTTTTACTGACTTCATATATGCAACAGTAAAACTACGCGATGTTCGCAATTTCTATTAAGGTACTTATGAATATTAGGTAATAAATCTAATAAAATTTATGTAATATGATTAAAGCAGATGATAGATAAAGTACTTCTTTATGTATGAACAAATACGTTCACATAATATAACGAATATAGTTCTCTATTTTCATTTTATCTTTTTTAATCGAGACATTTATATAATGACAACGTAAACATAGTTTTTAAATATAGCATAGATATATTTTAATCACAATTACAGCTGTAACAAATAGATTATATACAAATACCATAAATAATGTAATTGTATGTAAAACTTGTTTTTTGTTATGATAAAAATTATATTATTTAATTAATTATATAAAAACTGTATACAAAGAATAATTCTCTTTACATAAACAGAATTGCGGAAATATGAAATCGATATAAAAATAATAAAGAATATTCATTGTTTACTTTGTGTAACATATAAAATTATAATATTATAAACTGTGCGTTTTATAAATTGTGCATTATATATTTATTACGAATTACGTTTTATGAGCTATTATAATTTAATAACAATATATGTTTACTTATTTTCATTCTCTTATATTACTATAACTAAAACTGTTGCAATAGAGAATATGTAGAGAATAAAAAAAAAATTTTATATAAAAAATAGTCTTCATTGTCTGTTGACAATGAAATGAATTGACAATGAGAAGAATTGCAAAGACAGAATCGATGCAACAACATGTTAAATATTTATTATTTATCCTTTTATTATAATATATACATAATAAATATATATGTATATATATATATA